CCCAGCCGGAGCCGTCCAATCAGGAAGCCGGAGCGCCGTCTACTGACGCGACGCCCTGCTTTCTGATTGGCCGGGAAGCTGGCTTCATGCTCCCTCGTCATTTCATGACACGAGAGCACAGAGCCGGCCTCCCGGTCAATCAGAAAGCGGGGCGTCGCGTCATTACACGGCGCCCGGCTTCCTGATTGGCCGGCTAGACGGCTCCGGCTGGGTACCGGATAAAGGCCGCGTTTTCGCTGGAGAGGCCCCGGGGATGACAGGCTGCACATACTAAGGTAAGAGGGGACTTTTTTGTTAATCGGGAAGCCGGGTGGCCACTCTTTACACGCTGCCTGGCTTCCCGGCTAATCAGGAAGCCAGGTGGTGAGTCATTACACACCACCTGGCTTCCTGAATGGGACTTCCGTTACTCGGTAATTGGTATCGGCGAGTACGGAAAAAAATTATCGGTACTCGTACTCGGTACCAAAATACCGGTATCGGTGCATCCCTAGTTGACATTATTATAAATCAGGCTAATAATCAGGCTGTAGTATTATTAGCAAATATGAAGATGGAATGTGGGCTGTACTTAGTCGCACAGTTATAGGTGAAAAAAGAATGCAAGAGCAAACACATCCCTCCCCCACTGATGTACCAGTGTTAATAGTAATGTAAAAAGAATGTGCCAATATGCACTATCTATTTTACATAATGTGAGTAGTCAGTAATTTTTAGGGGTAAGAGTGTTCTTGTGTCATTGAGAACTACAACTATGGGAACCTGATGCAGCTGAGGAAGAGAATGCTTCTCCTGCAAAATATGATTAAACAGTGTTTTGAAAGGAGAGGCTAAGAGCTGCAAGAAGTTTTTATAGTAGAAAACATTATAGCGTTTTTTCCATGTTAAACATGCATAATCTGGAGTTGATTTTCCACCTTTAATATGTATTTCATTCAAAGTAGTTCTTGTTAATTAGTCTTGGTGATCCTGCTAAGGCAGTCCATTTTGGATTTTGAATTTAAAAGCATTGTTGACTCATTCTTAGTTTAGTTGTTCACTATTTGGTGGGCTTTTTAACCTATTTGTAATAATCTGCCAGGGTTATTCACAAAGCCATTTTCCATCTATTATTTGGTACTGCAAAAAGTAGAAGAGTATGTTGTTTGCCTGTCCTAAGATCCTGTTCCATATTGGATTGTTCATCTGTATGTTTTCTTTTTTTTGTAAAGTATATTGGACTAGTATATGTTTTCTTTTATGACAGTTGGCACTTTGTATAAGAAAATCCCTACTATGTGCCTTAGCATTTAAAAAGGGGGTGTTCCTAATCATATAATCAAATAAGTGATGAGAAGTGCTCCGGGACTCCGGGAGTGCCCGGGACAGTTAGGCTGTCTAGAGATCAGTGTCCCTGGTTAGCTTGTAACCAGGGACGCTGATCTCTCTGCAAGTGGCCGGAGCCAGCCGTAACATCACGGCTGGCTCCGCCCAGCTGTCAGAAGCAGGCTGTCGGCCGGCCACTCAGCCAGCTTCGGCTTTCACCTCGGCTCAGTCGAGCCGAAGCATATGCCTTCGGCTTGACTGAGCCGCCGGGCCGACTTCGGGAGCTGTACCGGCTATAGTGAATAGCCCGTACAGCAGCCCTTCGGTTCTACTGAACCGAAGGGGTCCTGGGGCCGAAGCATCGGCTAGATCCTTCGGCTGCTTCTTGAATAGACCCGTATGTATATATTTTGTTTAGTGGGTGAGAAAGAGGCGAAACACTAAAAAGAAACATTTTGTTTAGTTTACATTTCCTCCTGGAAAGGGTGTGTTTAGTTAGTAAGTCCTTCCATCTCTCCAACACTATGGAAGTAGCATATAAATTACTGAATGTGGTGTTTCCCATTGAGGTGTATTTTTCAGGTATTCCTGATTAATTGGTTAATACAGAGCGAGTAGGTTACAATTCTAAATAAGAATAATAATAAAGCAGAGTTAAATCTGTGTGCACAATTTGGAATGGTTATCAAACAAGTTATCAACAGAATCAGAATATCCAGTACAAAACCTTTTTGTTGCAAAACTCCTCCACCTACAATCCTGAACAGCCAACCTAAACAGTTTTACAAATTGAATAGGAAGAAAATCTAGTGCAAAATGGGCTGCTTTTAATTTAGAAAAGCATTTGGTAAAGTTTTTGTATGAAAATAACTGTGACTACAATCTTGAGCAGCTAGGTAAAAAAAATTACAAAATCTGAGACATCTGGTCAGCACTTTCTTGTGGGTTAATAAAATTGAAAAATAACCCCTTATAATGATTCACTATAACACTTGAAACACAAGTGTTTGAAAGGTAATGTATAGTCTTTTTTATGTACAGTATTTTGTTTTTTTTTAATGTGATTTTTAATTACCTACTAGTGCATATGTATATGAAATACTTCATAAAATACTTCATATTTACATTTCCATCCTTCTAAAGCTGGCCATACACCTTACAATTATCTGCAGATTTTCTGTGGTCAGATGGAAAAAATGCAACAGATTCCTCCATCTACACATAACTGTGTGGATGGAGTAATCTCCACCCGGGCCAATCTGTTGCACTTTTTCCATCTGACCACAGAAAATCTGCAGATAATTGTAAGGTGTATGGGCACCTTGAGTTTTGCTGTGCTGCCAGATTACAAATTCTCTGTAACACCAGTGCCATTGGTGTTCTCTGTATAAACCCTTCTATGTAAAATAAAGATTAAATATAAGAGGTAAAAAAGGTATAAAATATGAATTGAAAAAGTTATACTTAAAAAATAATCAAGTAAACCCCTTTAGGCTAGTTAAAGTATAAAATTGATATATAATACAATTGATTTTTTTTACCAATTAATAATTTCACATAGGCATTTTCAGAACAAAATATTTTTAAGCAAGATAAGCCATACCTTTTTGTCACTAAGTCCAGTCACCTGATCTACAAATTCTTCTTGAATCATAAAGGCAGCTAGATTGGCAGTGTAACTTGCCAAAAAAATCACAGCAAAGAATGCCCAAATTGATACAATGATTTTGCTGGTTGTGCCTTTTGGATTTTGTACAGGTACAGAATTATTGAAGACCAAACCCCAAAGAAGCCAGACAGCTTTTCCAATAGTAAATGAAGGTCCGTGTGGTGCTGCAAAAAAAGACAACTGTTATTCAAGAATATGTTTAGGATGACAAATGTAATACAGCTAGGGGTGTTGCAAATGTATACAGGCACAGAGATCTCTTCTTTGAACTATGGGTAAGTTTTAACAAGTATAATAAATCAGTTACCCATGAAACACTTGAAACTCATTTTTATAATTTTAATATGGTTGTTTCTATTAATACACAAACCAAGCACCAAAAGTAATTACAGCAAATACAGACAAATGGCCTACATGTTGCCCCCTGCATTTTCTTTCAATATAATACACCATTAAAGTACGTGGAAATAAAAACATGGCTCCTATATCTCATTATTTGTAACATTTACCTTAAACACAGATGTCTCAGAGTCTAATAGGCATTGCTTGCTTACAGTCTCTTCTAGTGAAGAGATCAAAGGCTTAGGCTAAATTGATTCTGGCATAACAGTACCTTTCTGCATGAAATTACAATTTCACCTTTGTTGCTATTTTGTGAAAGCTAGGCTGTTTAAGTGAAATTTTGAAAAAAATCTACCCACTCATGTTGCTTTGCAGAACCCATGACACACTCCAAGCTACCCCTAACAACCAGTCAGTGAATAGTCATCCTCATACCTGTGAATTTTTAGATGTTTTTGGATCAAAGATTGGGAGCAAAGCGGCAAAAGTATGGGGTTGACAAAAGCCCCATGCAGCAAATCAAAGGTTTATTAGTACCGTAGTACACATAATACACCATGAAACATTGGCATAATAGTGATATGGTTTCATAATGACAAACCTGAAGGGGATTCATTTATAGCAATATATTTTCTAAAGAAACAACATTTGATATGTGGCAGTGTTCACTAAAAACTAGAAGTCATTATTCTTAATGATTACTTTTGCAGTGGCTTGGAGTTGTTCAGAGTTGATATCACTTTTGTCACAAATAGTGGCTGCCATGAAAGATTTAGAACTAGTTTCTTACATCCTTTGCATTATACAACAATGACCAATTGTGCTGCATTTCCTTTTACCATTAAAGTAAAAAATTATATTCCACATGTTTATGCATTTCAAAAGTCAGATTTGTTTGATCAGTAAACCTAACTGTCTAAACAATTAAGACACTCAAGGCCCACACACTCTGTGTCACGTAAATTAACAACTTACATTTTATATAAACTTTATATATTAGATTATAATTTTAACAATTTATATTGTAAATTGACTGTGTTTGGCTGACAAGTACTGAGTGTTGTGTCTGTATTCTTCTGCAAATTTAAGTGGGAATTTATTTTTACACATATTCAGCCTTTTGTGCATAAATAAAATAGTATTTACAGCATATAGATGTAACCCTTGGCCTATGGGAGGATGGCTGTACAACAGAGGAAAACACTTATTTAATTGCAATAACGCCATGGAAGAAAAGGTTTCATACTCACCTGTACCCTGTTCCAGCACCAGGTCTTTCCTGCTGTGTGAGACGACCCAGTGCTCACAGAGACTCTTGCAACCCTGTTTTCCATGATCCCAGCTCCCAGAAACTTCTGTGAATCCAGCAAACCAGTGGTTTCACAGATTTGTTCCTTCTGTATTTGCGTACTTCCAGCTCAGTAGCTGCCTGTTCAGGTGAGCCAAAGGGCCACAATCTGGGGGCTATCCTACAGCAAAACCCTTTATCCCTAGCAGAGTGCTCTGGCAAATATCAGGCAGCTCCTTAGACTCTGTGCCTCAGACCTTCTCAGGGCTCTTACCTCTACTAAATTTGCAGACACTCTAACAGGGTTATTCACAAAAGGGTGAAGAGTTTGGAGAAAGCAGGAGAAGTGAACAATCTAGGCTAAAATAGCTGATTTGGAAAAATTCTCCAATTCAGCTCACTTTCCAGTTCAGCTATGTTGTCCTAGATTGTTCACTTCTCCTGCCTTCTCCAAACTTTTCACCCTTTTGTGAATATCTCTATAAGTCTTGTTGTTCCCAAATTCTCAGTGTTTCCCCCTTCTCCGCACTTTGTTTCACCTCGTGTCACCTTAGTGTCACTCTGTGTCACTGCAACTCCCCTATTGACTCTTGTGCTACACAACAAGTGTCCCCAACACAAGTGCTCCTTCTCTCTGGAACAAGTACCCAGCAGTCCAAGAGCTCCTCCTATTCCCATTTTTGCATATATATATATATTTATATATATGTGTGTGTGTATACTGTATATACTGTATGTATAAATGTATGTATATAAACTATAAACTGCTCAAAAAAATTAAAGGAACAGTTTGAAAACACATCAGATCTCAATGGGGAAAAATATCATGCTGGATATCTACTGTATACAGGACTGGGTAATGTGTTCGGAACGAAAGTATGCCACATCTTTTGATTTGTATGGCCCCCACGTGCTTGTATGGATCCTGACAATGTTGGGGCATGCTCCTAATGAGACAACGGATGGTGTCCTAGAGTAGCTCCTCCAAGATTTGGACCAGGGGGCATCACTGAGCTCCTGAACAGACTGAGGTGCAACTTGGCAGCAGCGGATGGACTACAGGGCAGGACAGAGGGGGGGGGGGGGG